TATTTTTTTATATTTTTTTAAAAAATATTAAACAAAATTAATAATTGTTTAGTTTCCTTTTTTAGACAGGTCAGGTCGTGTCAGGTCAGGTCAGGTCAAGTCAAATGTATATTTAATTCAGGTCAATTTTATGTCTGACTTAACCTAACCTTATCAGGTCAGGTCAAGTCAATTACCCGACCTAACCCGACTTGTTTGGAGCTCTACTCTTAATGATGAGAATAGTAGAGGATTTAATACAGAAGACTACTGTGATAAAAGTGGTGAAGACACTCATTATGACATTAGCCAAGAAACTCGTAGTAATCTTGGTGACTATAATAATATCAGAGACTTTTACGAAGACTATTATTCACAGACTAGAGATAAAGACAAGTATTTTTACGATAAGGCTGAAACTTGTCTTACAAAAAGGAATTCAATTATACAATGGAAATAATTAATGAGAAAATTAATTCATTATACAAACTTTGTAAATTTATAGCTGATACACAATAAGATGAAAAATGTCTTTGCAAAAACTCGTCATAATGGATGAGCTCTCTGATAGTTTTTGGGGTGTAAGTTATTTAACAAGATTTAGCAATTTATTTAAATCTTCAAAATACTTATAATGATTATATCTGTAGCGCACTTATAGAGAAGTAACTAAGAAATTGCTTCCAACGATTTTATTTCCATCAATTACTGAGTACTGTGAAGCATTAGAAAAATATCTCAAAAAACACGCAAATCATTTTATCGACAGTATTAGAAGAAACAGTTAGATATCAATGTTTGAGAATAAATTACTTCCGGAAGTAAGTAAAAACCTAGAATTTATTTGATTTTTTTTAAAAAAATTCTAACTTCATTTTAATTTTAGTTTAAATCCAAATTCCGTAGCAAGCAAAATGATTTAGCATCTACTATTCAACACGTTATGTTTCTTATATTCAGTAAAAAGCGTCTGGATTTTGTTGATGATACAATGACTTCAGTAAGACTTGCGGAATAGAAGACTAGTGAAAAAACCCAGAATGCATATCACGAACTATTTCAGAATCATGAATTACTTACCAAGATTGGATATATCATATTCAAACAGTATAAAGAAATGGAACTCCCAACAATGCATTGTGCTTACATTCTCGCAATCTGTGACATCCTTCTGAATCCTAAGAGTCCTGGGATAAAGTGTAATGACAAGTCTGTCGTAAGATGCGTTAATGCTTTTTTGGTAATAAATTTAAAAGAACTTTAATTCTAAAAACATTTTTAAATACTAAATTCAGTTATATTTTCAGTGTGCATTTGAAAGTTAAAGTCCAGCAACTCCTCAGATAATGGAGGAGATAGCTGATGAAGAAAGACTTGTCGAAGAAACAAGACAGAAAAAACAAAAATTATCGCAATCCTCAGTTTTTGGAGATAGTAAAATCACCGTTAAAGAAAATGATTTCGATGATTATGATAATTTGGTGAACAAATTGTTGTTGCTATTATTACATTTTGAATTACTTCACTAACCCGCTAAATCTTGCATTTTTAGATCACTGACTTGGATAAGTCTTTTCATTATTGAAATATTTGGCCAGAACACTTTGCGAAGAAACTAAGCATTTTTTTTTAGCTAAATTTATTTCTGTATTAGTATGATATATTTCGAAGTTATAATTGATATTTTATTATTTTATTCTGTATTGTATTGTGAAGATAAATAAATTTTATAAATATTAATACAACTTGAATAAATTGAATAAATTAAGTGTGTACAAATTCGAACATTTCGAACTTATCATTTTGAAGTATTTTGCAGGTTTTTCTTATAAAATCTTCGCAGAGATTTTAATATCTGAAAAATCTGTGCAGAAATCATATAATTTTTTCTCAGAAGTACTGCGGCAAGGTTGAAGATCTGCGCAAAAAATGGATCCTGCATAACTTCACAGATTTTTACTAAAAAAAATCCCCGATGTTTTTATTAACCAAATTTATTAAATTTAGGATACGATGTATAAATAAGCTCAAAGATTTATACAGGCTTTTAAATTCATCTCTGATTCTGAACTAAATTTCCCAAACTACATTCATAGATATATCATATTACTGACTTGATATGATCATTTGGCGCAGTAAATAGCTATATTACGAAAACTTACGAAAGTCTTCATAAAGATTTTGTTAAAATACCCTACTGTCTCAGCAATAAAAAAAATATTGAACCTCAACTATTAAAAACTGTATGTATTTATGCAAATTAATAATTTGTAAATTTAACGAAATTAATAACATTAACAAAAATCAATAGATAAATCGTCAAGAAATTGCTCGCATACATCAGGGATTTTTTTTAGTGAAAATCTGCAGAGTTATGCAGGATCCATTTTCTGTGCAGATCTTTAACCCTGCCGTAGTACTTTGGAGAAAAAATTATATGATTTCTGCGCAGATTTTCAGATATTAAAATCTCTGCGAAGATTTTATAAGAAAAACCTGTGAAATACTGTTATCTTACTATACTAACGACTGAAAATTAGTATTAACGCAAGATTAACAAGGGATTTAGCTTTAAGACTTTTATGATACGATTTAT